CAGAGGCAGCCAAGCAGGCCCTCAAAGACGTGCAGGCCAACCCTGAGGAATTCTACAATCTGACCAAGACCAAGAAGCGCCCCGAAGCGAAAAGCACAGCACCTGGAGATATCCAACGTGAGAAGGAAGCTAGAAAAGCGGCAGCTCTGAAGTGGTTTCCTTATGGCTTTGGCCCTGCTACGGGTACAACATTTGTGATTGAGGAGGTGGGCGAGATTTCGGACGATGAAGAGGAATACGGAGACTGGCAAGCTGACAAGCATGGCTATTCGAATGCTTACGTCGAGAAGAACACCGTTTGGGACGATGAGGGGTGGGAGTACTATGATGAGAATGGAAACCTGGTCAAAGGGAAGAGGCGTCTGATGGATCAATATCAGCATGCCACGCGGGCACACAAGAACAAAAAGGGGGCCTGATCCCCAGGAAAGCAAAACTCTTGACCGTGTCAAGATTAAGTGGTCTAAATACATACCAAGATATCCCAAACCCGCCTATGTATTTTCGTCACTTAGAATAGAGGCCCTAAGTTTTCTTCCCCGAGCTTGTCAGAGAATTATCGAGTGCCCATTGCAGTAAATTGTAGGTGTTTTCTTCTGATCCCGAACGCCATGCCATGCCATGCAGTCCATGCAGTCCATCCATCCATCATATGATACATCCTCTAATCCCAATACTTAATCTCACCGTCCAGACCCGCCGTAACCACCTTGCTGGTCTCTTGAGGATGCCACTTGACAGTGGTGACAGCCTGATTACCAGCCTTGAACTTGTGATACATCTTACACGTCTTCCAGTCCCAGAAACATACATAACCACCAGAGTCACCTGAGGCAAGGAATTGTCCATCAGGACTGCAGTCGAGATCGATGCCAAGACCAGCGTTGTTGTGACCGCGGTAGCTCTTCTTTCGGTTCTGCCGGAACTTGTCGTTTGCGCCATAGACGAGAATCTGGTTATCGGAACTCTGATATGCGACGTATTTGCCGCTGGGGTGGGGAGCTGCGCGGGTCATAGGATACATATCTGGTTCAGCGATGTATTTGATGGGGACGGGAATGTTGTAGTCCCACGCTCGGAGAGACTTGTCATCAGAAGTTGTCATAAAGCGTCGGTTCTCGTCAACGAATGTGATGGTGTTAATGGCAGCTAAGTGATGATCATACTCCTGGACAACCTCGTTCGGTGTTCGAATGTCGAATTGGACAATCTTCTTATCCGACATACCGGCCAAAAACTCATTCGCATGCTCAGGATCAGGGTTAAATTTGATGACATGGGGAGTCTTGCCAGTCGTGAACTTGCTCACGCAAACACCCTTCTCAGTATCCCAGAGCTTGATCATGCGATCGTAAGAAGAAGAGAGAAACTGAGTGCCCGATGTGTTGAAGCAAATATCTGAAATAGCTTTCGAGTGTCCAGAGTATGTTCGTAGGAGCTCTCGCTCGTGGTACACATCGAAGATCTTGACGGTAGTGTCGGCGCTGGCTGATAAGAGCAAATGTCCAGACGACGGGAAGAAGCGCAACGCGGTGATCGCCTTGGAATGGTTCTTCCAAGAGTGAATCTGATGCTTGGGAATAAAGTTGGTGATGCTTCCCACTTCTTTTCGAAGGTCGATGTCCAAGTCTTGGGGAACGTGCATATAAGTCCTACCCTGGTAATCGTACTCGGCGGATCCGTGGAACATCGTCGTCTCGTCACCCATCTCCTCGGCCTCCTTCCGTCGTTCCAAAGCCTTGGTCGGTGCCTTGACAATTGTTCCACTCTCGACTACCTCTTCCTCCTCTTCGACAATCTCATATTCCTCATCGCTCGCCAATTCTTCGTCGTCCGCAACAACCTCGTATTCTGCCTTTTTGTATCGTGCCCAAGGCCCGACATAAGACCCAGGTCCCTCCGCAATCGTCGCGCTGCCCTTGCTCTCTCGCCCAGCTCGTATCCTGGCAGCCTCTGCTTTTTGCTCTGCATTCGTCTGGTACTCTCGTTCAGGGCCACCTCGTCGCTCGATAGCACGATGCTTGCTCCGGAATGTGTGTTCGCTTAGGAAAGTCTCCTCTGCATGTCCAGTTGGGACGCTCTTGCGCTTCAAAATGTTGTTCTCGTCCTTGAACGGGTTCAATGGTCCAGCCTTAGGACGTGATAGATCTTCAGCCGAGTAAGGCACAACAGCATGATCAGGTTCAGCTTGTTCTCGAACTATGAGCGCATCTTGCGGCGCCATATTTGGCGGATATTCGCCAAAATCCGCCATGATGATGGAAATCCGCCTTTGGGTGGGTTGAGGAAAAGGTTGCCCCAACTGCTGATGATGAAGAAACCAAAGGAGTTAACTATATTTGCACTGCTTGGTTAAGGCAGCGATCGAGTCATTAAAGCAGATAAACCTTGTCTGATTCTGACTTCTGCGATGATGGCCTCGCTATTCAACTTATTGGTGGAAACGCTAAAAGTCTCGATGAACTTGTGCAAAACTGATTGATTGATTGATTGATTGCTAGTTGAAGATCAAGGCATCTCAACGAGACATAAGGAAGGGTATGATGAAGGGAATGAGCGTAGATGATTGGTAGAGTTTGAACGTCGCAAAGTATAGGTACTAGGTAAGGTAGTCAAGCTCTATCAAGCGCGACAGAGTAGATCGCGAAGCAGAAACAGTCACGTGACTTTGATTGCAATTGCATGTTCACTTCGCAGGTACACGGGGAGCAAGAAATTGGAGAAAATTTCCAAGTTTCCTAAAAGCAGGTGCCTGATCTTACCCAAGGCCTATCGTATCTAAGCTGAATTTACGTAAGTTTTCTTTTGTCGTTTAGGATAAAGGCCCTGAGTTTTCTTCCCAAAGGCAGGGTTTGGCCGTTTAAGCCTGAGTACCTCAACTGATACGAGCAATGTTTGTAATGAGTTGTAACTCATATACTATACATAAAGAGACTATACATTTCATCCAAAGCATGGAAACTGGCCATTTTATTCGGTCATTCATCAATTATCACACCGGGCTCAAATGCTGAAGGACGACGGACGCGGCCACCACCAAGTGCGATCAATGCCTCAGTCTCCAACAGAACATGCCACCCACCGCCTTCATGAAGTAATCAACCAGAGCGCCAGCTGGCATGATACCAGGATATATACGCCAAGCCCGCCTCTTAAAAAAAGCTATCATCATCATCTATACTGTCTTCCACTCGTTGTGTACTGCCGTAGCAGACTTATATCGTGTTCTCTTGTTCTTGTCGTCGCGTGACTAGTCGACTCGGCCCTGGGTGTCAGCTGAACTCAACCAGCTTGTTAAGCTATTGCAATCTGTCCTATCTGACGTAGCCAAACGTTGCCTAACATCGGTGATATCGGACCGCGGCTCATTTGAGAGGGGTAGCATTTTAGGAGGACTCGTCTCGGATAAGAGCAACAATCATGCTGTAGAGGTAGAAGAAGAACATGAGCAGGTGAAAGCCAAGCTTGAAGAAAGATTCCTGTTGTCGGGTTAATGCTGCGCTTTGCTACGAGTCAAGCTAGAACACATACCTTCTTGTGAACATTGAGCTTGCGGAAGATCTCAGTCGCATCGAGGAGATGAGTGTTGTCGACAATCCTAGCAACGGTCAGTCTATTGTCGCAGAACTCGGGGTGTAGTCGACATACTTCTTGACGTTCCAGCCAAGGAGAGGCAAGTTGAGAATGAGAGGGATCCAGTAACCGTTGATGAGGAAGAGGAAGGTCAAGAAACCGTGCACAGCAGCCTCGGGGATGATATAGGTATTGAGTCGGTTGCAGAGGTCAATGGGGTTAATGTAATCACTGTTACCATATGCGATTAGTTTTCATCTCATCAAATGCTTTAAATACGCGCATCTGAGGCGCAAAGTTTGACAACCTGACAGCAGCGCTTGCAAGAACCATGGGAACCATACCATTCCAAATCACTGTACATAATAGTGAAGAAAACCTGTAAAAAGAGGTTGACGGCGTTGATAAGCACCGACAGCAAAAACAGCCAAGCTTCTCCAGACATCATGTTGGGCTAAAGTGTAAATGTGACGTTGAGGATTGGTGATCGAGTTGGGATGACGATGTCGGTCGATGACAGCTGTTTGACAAGCTCTGTCACAGGCTGCAGATCGCGGTGCAAGGCGAGGGACGATAAGCTTCGGAGTGGTACAGTTCGCGAAAAGCTCTGGGTAGCTGAAAATGCCAAAGTTGCCTTGCAGCAAAGATTTCTTTAGTCACGGAGCGTGAGGGGAATAACAGAGTGGAAGAGGAGAAATCTTGGTGGCGGGCAATGGATGGTGTGGAAATGGTAACTTAGTGGGAGTGGTAGCGGTGGTGAGTTCTGGTGGAGATATGGTGGAGGTGGACCTGGAGAGGTTAGGTTAAGTTAGGTTCCTGGGCTGGTTAGATAAAAACTAGCCGCGATGATGGAAGCGGCGACAGCTCAGGGCACACCCTCGAAGCTGACAGCAGGGACATTGTGCTGAGAACCCCCTGTAATCCCGGCGACCTCTGCCTTGATCCCCTGTGCTGAAAACGCCTTCCACGGCGGATGGCGTGGCCAAGTGACGCCTGCATGTGGCTGGGAGGGTTCACAGTCTCACTGAGCCTTTGAGACGCAGGGTTTATTACTCTCCAACTTTGACAGCGAGAGCCATTTGCGTCACTCCACAGATAGATAAGCCTGCATCCGGGGATATGCACCACGGACATCGACAATGATGTAACGACGTGTGGCCTGACTTGGCCAAGCTACCCAAGCAAGGCTGATCAACGTCGATTACCACATAAACATCATGGTTTCACATGCTTCTGCAATAACGCTGAGAGAAGACTCTATCAATCACTCAAAATTAAGCAGAAATGTGTCAATATATCAATTTTGGGTTCATGCCTCACTACTCCGCCATGATAATGCACCGTCCATCAGCCAACCACCCCCCACCAACAACTCCAGAACATGATATCGCCAAAACATATGATTTCTAACAACATTCATAAACACTCTATGCCTCGGCCTCTCCGTTCTCAGTGCCAGGCATCGGTAGGGCGCCACCAGGAGAATCTGGCTGTCTCGCGGTCAAGATCTCAACCCCATCTTCTGTAACTAGAAGGGTGTGCTCTGCGATTCATATTAGCCTATGTCACTACCACACTTCCAAAGGAGACTCACCAAACTGAGCTGTCAGCTTGCCATCGATGGTGGTGCTGGTCCAGTTATCAGGCCAGGTGATATCTCTATACTTGCCCAGAGCAATCATGGGCTCAATAGTGAAGGTCATCCCGGGCTTGCACTCTCCAACAGTCTTGTTCTTGGCGTAGTGAGGGACGTTGGGAGGGCAGTGGAAAAGCTTGCCGACTCCATGGCCACAGTAAGTTCGGATAACGCTGCAGTTGTGCTTCTTGGCGTGCTTCTCAATAATGTTACCAAATTCTCGGATCAGAGTGCCGGGCTTAACGGCCTTGATAGACTCATCCAAGCATTGTCGTGCCGTCTCAACCACACGAACAGTGTCGGGATCGGCCTTGGCCTTGTCTCCAATGTAATACGTCTCGTTCAAATCGGCGTGGTACCCTTCGTGGTACAGGGAAACGTCGATGTTGAGAATGTCACCGTCTAGCAGAACACGCTGGTCAGGAATACCGTGACAGATGACTTCGTTAACTGACGTGCAGCAAGACTTGGGGAAGTTGTTGTAGTTCAGAGGAGAGGGGTAGGACTAAGTCGAGTCAGCCATCACAAATAGACTCCTGCGCTTCGAAAATTCGTGAGCAAATCTCAATACGTACGTTTCGCTCGATACAAGCCTTGTGAACGATCTCATCGATGTAGTCGGTCGTCACGCCAGGCTTAGCGGCAGCGGCCGCGATGTCGAGGACCTCTCGCGCAAGCCTGCAACTCTTTCGCATAGCATCCTGGCCCTTCTTGTCGAGAAATTCGATCTTGTTACGGTTGGTGAGGGATCGGCTGTATCTGGGGTTGCCGTCTTGCCACCACACGGGGTGAGGAATCGACTGAGGAAGAGTTCGGTGCGGCGACAGAGGATAGACGGGTCGCAAGGTTCCAGAGTACGGAAAGTTGGGGAAAGGGTTATAATAGCCGGTAGCTGGATCTGGTGAGATTGCTTTCGGAGCTTTCAGGTGGTGGAGGATATTACTTTGCGACTTGTGCATTGTCTTGTGAATGCCCTGTGACAGAGTTAGCCTATGTCGCTGTCGCAAGGTGGTGAAATCATGTACCCAGTTTCTCTTAAAGCACTCCTGAGAGCAGAAGTAGCTGTCCTTGACTCCCAGCTTCAGACAAGTTGGGCATTGGAGGGATCCAGCTTCGTTCTGGCAGTCGGCGCCCATACACTCCTTCTTGGCGGGGGGGTCAGCAGTCATTGTGTCGGTATAAATGCACTATATGTTCTCGAGTAAACAGATTGTATCGTGCGAAAAGGAATGTATAAATCAAGAAATCGCAACCTGGAGTGAGAGTTTGTCGAGCAATTAAAATGCGATCACAAAGCGCCAAACAGTGTAGTCGTAGAGTCGTGTCTCGTGATGCAACTTTCAAACGAAAGCAAAAGATCGACTCGGCCCCATTTGCTGCAGGTTGATAAGCATCGATAAGGGTCATCGCTAACAATAGCCCGTTACGCTTTGCGACGGTCTGGAGCTCCTCTAACAGAGTCTGAGTCGGTGGGGCAGTCAAACATGTTTTGTGCAATTTTATGCATACACTTCACTAACAGAGGCTGTTAACGTCCTCTTGTAAACGGTGCTGTTTTGGGTAAGTGGGGGGTTACGGCACAACGGAGACGTGATCAGTAACGGTGGTCCATGCGAGCTTGTTAGTGCTTCAGTGAAGACTGGGCATGTGAATGACAAGGAACTCAAATTGGTCTCTAATAAGGAGATTTTCTGCAACTTGCGTCTCACCAAGCATCTGCGTTTCTGCTCATTTGAGTCGAGAATAATTTCATGATATCAGTGTCAGGTTTGAGTCAAGTATGTCATTTCTGAGCAGATAGTTGTGAGATCTGGAGAATTTGTAGCCGGATAAATACATATTCAACCTGCACAAGAGCAGAAAGGGAACTGAAGAAGGCGCTTTGAAGTGAGCGATGGGCCATCAAGGATAACAAGTTGGCAGTACTAGTATGTGCACCGGCTTCGCTCTATCAAAACACACTCACTTGGTCACAGCTAGCGGCCTCTTCATTGGACCATAGTCCAAACCTAGACACTTTAGAACTAGAACATTTTTTTCAAACCTTCAGCGGCATTTACTTACTGCAACACCGAATGCCGGGGTTACATAGGTAAGGTAGTCAGTGGTCTTGTGAGTGACAGAGGTTGTTGTCGCTCCTCTGTAGTGGATAAAGTGGGTCCCGCTTCCGGCCGGCCGCTATCGCTTTGATGCAACAGAAACAGCCGGCCCTATCGGGGCTTGAATCGGTCCTCAGTCTATTAGTATGGCGACCTTAATATCTCGTCATCTCTTGACATTTCTTGTCTCCGTTCGTCCTTGACCAACTTCGCGAGCAAGATGGTGAACCCTCAGAAGATCGTTGTTGTAGGTGCTGGCCCTGTTGGTTCTCTGGCAGCTTTGTATGCTGCTCAGAGAGGCCATGAAGTTGAAGTTTATGAGTTGCGACCGGGTAAGTGACTGTTTTCTAACATGTTTCCCATTGGCGCATCGCAAAAGACTCGATAAGTTCCGGAGCCCCGAGGAAACTCGTTTGAAGCTCTCGCGACTTGCGGAGAGTCATGTGTGAAGTTTTTCATGAGTCTTTTACCAAAATTCTCTCCAAACGTTCGAGAGGCGCATTCGCTGACTGGTCTAGACCTCCGGGATCCCAGCACCATCCCACTCAACTTTACAAAATCTATCAATCTTGCCATATCAGAGCGTGGAATCAATGCTATGCGCCATGCTGGTCAACCGGGCCTCCTTGACCATGTCATGTCGACAACAATTCCAATGAGAGGCCGCATGATTCATGGTAGAGGCCCAACTGGAGCACTATTTGAGCAGTCGCAAGACTACGATGTAAAGGGACGGGTATGAATAATTGCCTCAACTCCCGTGTAGCACGTGAAACTGACGATTCCAAATAGGCAATTCACGCCATTGATCGGGCAGGCTTGAACAAGCGGTTGCTTGACATCCTGGATAATATGCCTAATGTCAAGTTATTCTTCAACCACAAGCTCACAGGCGCCGACTATCGCGAATGCAAAGCTTGGTTTGAAGTGGCGGATGCAAAGTCATCCCAAGAGTCTCGCCCTAAGGAAATCGGCATTTCCTTCGACCTTATGATTGGAGCTGACGGCGCCCATTCTGCTGTTCGCTACCACCTTATGAAGTTTACCCGGATGAACTATCAGCAGGAGTACATCGATACTCTATGGTGCGAGTTCCAGCTCAAGCCTGTCAAGGTTGATGAAACAGCCGATCCGATTGCCAAGTTCCGAATATCGCCTAATCACTTGCATATTTGGCCCGGCAAGGATTTCATGTTCATTGCTATCCCCAGCGATGTACGTTCTTTCTTATTCATTTCCATTAGTTCTCCATAATTTATTGACTCTTTTTGCTTAGGACGGCTCATTCACATGCACACTCTTTATGCCTAGCAAGGATTTCTCAGATCTTGAGAATAACCCTGCCAGCGTTCCGGCATTCTTTGACAGCCATTTCCCAGGCGTTACGGACTTGATACCAGGCGATGAGTTGATTGAATCTTTCAACACAAATCCTCACCTCCCACTTATCAGCCTCAAATGCAAGCCGTACCATTTCGGCTCTTCTTGTGTTATTGTTGGCGATGCCGCACACGCCATGGTGCCTTTCTATGGCCAAGGAATGAATGCGGGCATGGAGGATGTCCGGATTCTCTTTTCAATACTTGACAAACACGCTCAGATCGACGAGTCCAATGATCCTGCCAGCGAGTCATCTAAATCTGAGCCAGCTTTCCAGCGATCACTAGCGTTGGCGGAGTACTCAGCAGTTCGACCAGCCGACGCCCATGCAATAAACGAGCTTGCCCTGCAAAATTATGTCGAGATGCGATCCTCAGTCTTGTCAAAACGCTACAGGCTGAGAAAATATCTCGAAGAGATGATGAGCGTGTACTTCCCTCGCCTTGGCTGGCAGACGAAATACTCCCGAGTCAGCTTCAGCAACGAGGGTTACCTGGACGTCATCAACAAGAGTGATGCCCAAGGCAGGATATTGGTGCGAAGTTTCTTGACCCTGGTTGCCAGTCCTTTCCTGGTTTCAGCCGCGGTGTTTGCATACAAGTACCGACGGTCATTTTCTGCCATGATGAAGGCTGTTCGATAGCTTCCCTCGTGAGGTAACTCTGCCGTCTTGTTGGTACAATGTATTAGTGGAAATGTTCGCTTATTTATTAGGAATTATGTATCACTGCTCAGTTGCAGGAAAAGTTGGCTATAATTAAAGGTCGAATTGTAATATAGAACTAAACCAACATAAGCAGAACCAAACTCGAAACAAACGCAAGAACGTCAACCTTCGGTTCTGATAAAGACCTTCTCTACTATCTCTGAATCCACTGAACTAGTCGCATGAGAATTAAATGTATGGTTGCTCTATAGGGTTCAGATCAGCCAGTCTACGAGTTGATCGAGCGTTGGCGATTTGCAGCGCCATCACTCTCGTTCAACAGTGAAATCGAATTATTCGTGATGCATCAACACCGAATTCACACATACCGAGTCACAATCTTTATTTATGTCACCGTACAAGGACAAAGCACACCTTCATCGTCAGTGTTTTCTTATGCACTAATACAATGATATGCGCTTAACCAGTATTTGGCTTAGTCATTCTTCGAACTTCTGAATTTTTGGCCCGGATCTACAACACTATGGAGAGTCTCGTTGAAATCGAGATATTGGCCGGCATTTCCTCGCTCTAAATCTTCGACAATTGAAGGTGGGAGATTTTATCTTGGTCAATAGGTCTCCTGAATTCCAAGATTCAGTATCGCTTTCTTCTAGGGGTGAGTGTGACAATTCCACATCCAAATGCCGTCAGGAGCTGCAAGGAAACAAATGTTAACAAAGCGTCAATGTAGAACGAAAAGACGATTACAACGTGACGACGAAAATCACCATCACTCAAATCGATACCGTCAATTCTCTAGACCGCCCATCATGCCCTCAGTCACCAACATCGCGAACATGTGTTCGCATCTCCAAAACGCCTCTAAAGCCCGCCTGGGTATAACATCCGTCAAGAATTGCAAATACAATCTTCAACTCGCCCTCGCTCTTCACCGATCAGGTTTCTTCTCGGCAATCTATCGCTCCGGTCCTCATCCCCCAACGCTCGAGCAGATGGTTTCTGAGCCTCCAGTACCCGTGACAAACGCCAACGTAGCCACGATGCGCCTATGGCTCGGCCTTAAGTACTGGGACGGTAAACCCGTCCTCGGAAAGGCCAACGCTATTAGCACGCCTAAGCGTCTTATGACGGCCAATATTGCCGAGCTGGCTAGATTGGCGAGAGGGTTTCCTACGAAGGTGGATGGTGGTGTCGTGCCGGGGTTAAATCTCGGCGAGTGCATGTTTGTGTCGACGTCGAAGGGTATGCTGGAAGTGAGAGAGGCACTCGCGAGAAAACAGGGTGGTCTACTAGTATGCCGGGTTTCATAAGTTTGGAGATCTAGAGGGAGGGTTGCCGGGGTGGTGGGAGGAGCCTGTGTGCTTTCATGATACGATAAATTGGGAAGCTTGTATTGTACAACTAGATTAAGTCCCATAAGGACGTTTTGTGTATCAAAAATCAATCTCAAAATGAGAAACCGCCTTGCGCATTACAAATATTTGTGTTATCTTGCAATCTCGTTTTCAGATGCTCTTTTTACAATAAGTATGCGACAAAATCACCATTCGCCTTCGCTTAAAACAGGTATCTATACAACGGCTCAAACAGTGCATCCCTTCCTCCACTGCTAACAAATCAGCAATCTTAAGTCTCTCACAGTCTATCCCAATTTTATTCCGCCTTGGTAACGCTTTCCTGGTCTTCCTTCTTCTCCTCATCAATCTGTTCCCCAGTGGTGTCCTTCTCTTCAACAGCCTCAGCGGCCTTCTCGTCTTCCTTGGTATCATTCTCCTTTTTGATGTCAACCTCGTTATCCTTATTCTCTGCCGTCTCCGTCTCGGCGGACTCGACTTCCTTTTCCAACAAGGGAATCACCTCTTTGGTGGTCTCTGGTTCAGGATCAGTGGTTGATGCCTTGTTTGTCTCCTCGACGACAACAGGGGGTTGAGTAGAGCCCTCGTCCACTAGGGGAACAATATCTTCGCCCTCAAGTGGCTTCTTAAATTCAGTCGCGGGCTCCTGCTCCCTGGACTCATCA